CCTGATAGAAGGCAGAAAGCCACAAGTATACATATTTCCATTGTGTTTCACCTCTATGAAAATGTTCTTTATTACCCTTTTTCCCCGGTATGAACAGGGAATGTCTATATGGTATTACTGAGAGCACAAACCGAATGCTAGGATTGCCATTATGCAAACTATATTCCCAAGTTTCTCCTCCAAGGAGCTGAAAGTAAATTCTTCCCTAGTTTTGTCACTTTTTCTACAGATGGCAAAGCAACCAATAAATTACTAGCTGATTCTAGCAAAAAAAAAAAAGGGGGGGGGGGGGGGGGGAAATGAAGCTTTCTGAATTACAATCCAGAACTAATCTTTACTTTGATCCAGTAAGTTCATTTGATTCTGCAGGTGTTCAGGTTTCCCAGCAGAGTCAGCGGGACTTCAACATGTGGAAGAACTGCAAAGTCAAGCCCATATTTAATACCTGTTGTCTTTGTGTTTAAAGACTCAATGCAGTGATTGAAAAGTTTAATACTTCAACTGAGAACTCATCACCCTGTCTCCCTCGACTTCAGTGAGTGCTCAGTAAGGTCTTTCAAACCAAATTCTGCTGGGATGAACATACATAGATGCGATTGTTGCCACAACAAACAGGAGTGCTGTGTGTACCTTGGGACAGAGTTTGACATTAGGTTCAACATGATTTGGAAATGCCTTTCAGGCTTTACCTCAGTTTTCATGGAAGCTTATAACCCTTATTTTACTTCAACAATTTTGAAAGTACCCAACCGTATGAAATACTGAGCTTTGGCAAATGGCAATAATTTCCCCTTTAACATGTGTAAACAATGCTGCCATTTCCACGCACAGCGCAGCATGAATTTCAACAAACCAAAAAAACACCTCCTCCTTTTTCCCAAAACAAAGATACAACATCAGTAAAACCAGACATCTTGAGCTAAATCGTTTCCAACAACTTGCATAAGAACTGTACTTAAATTTTAAGAAGTCTAACGCTTTCCACAAACAGGCTTTGCTGGTGATCACCACAGGCAAAACACAGTCAGCGATTTAATTTCAGATATACTGCCCAAAAATACAAACCAGCAATAACACAGGCTGGGAGAGTCTGCCTGAAACTAATGTTGATTTTCTGCATAGATAGTAAATTATGGTAAAGAAATGAGGCACTGCACAAGTGAATGGCATATACATAATGTCTTTCAGGAAGACGTATTTTTATTACTGCGCTCCAGGACAGGCTGTCTGAATTCAGAGTTCATCGCAGTTGAAAATATAGTAGCCCACACATGCTCATTGTTAATTTTTAAGACCTGGCGTACCACCTCATACTTATGTCAGTAACAAGTAACTTCCGACTGGAGGTTAAAGGTCTGTTTATTTGTTTATCTTGACCTATTAATTAATAAGAGACAACTTTCTAAAATTAAAAGACCCATAATGACTCTTTAAGGACATAAAGAAAGCAAGAAACACATGCAGCAGAGCACCTCTGGTGTGCTTTTAAGGCCAATGCTGGCTCTTATGATAGCTCTTTTATTTACATATAAATGCTTGTTGCTTGACAATTGAGATAAAAATGTTACCGCTGCTCTGCATGTGCTGTAGATTGAAGGTGTAAAACCACTGGACCAACTAATGGAGTCTTCACACATCATATCTTGTTAAAGAAGAGGTAACCCACTCTCAAATGCTATTACAATTCATCAAAACTATAGTATACAAAAGATACACTTTTAACAAGAGTCCAACTTTTGTCTTTCTGAGTAGGACGCCAAATTAAGTATTGATTGAAGCTGCACCATTTCAATAATGAAAATGATGGCTCCACAGTACTTATTTGAAAACACTGGGAAAATATTAAAACTACATTTAATTCCATGTTTCTCTAAACCACCAACATAAAAGAAGCATTGATGACTGGCCAGGGATCTTTAATTAGGTTGCAACTTAAAATCCAACTGTGCATAAAAGTCTACTTTATACATTTACCTCATGCACCAAAAGTTGAGTTTGTCATTCAGTTCTTTCTGTCTGTATTTGTAACTTTCAAGAAAAGGAAATACTGCCACAAATGCCAATGGCTACAATGGAAAACTGATGAATAGGGGAGCTGAAAGATAACACTCACTCCTGCTATATTTCTAACAGATGTGGATGATGTGATCATCCATTCATTTTACTATCTGTTTCATCATCCACATGTGCAGTTTAATTGAAATGCAATTTTAGCATCTTTTGTATTCACTGCATGCACAATCAAAGGTATACATTATTGAATTATGAATTAGTTGTGCCTAAACAAGTCTTCAGGGGGGCAAGGGGGGAAGGAATGTAAATACACATGTAAAAATAACCTCCCTACTTACACTGCCTACTTAAGCTTACATCAGTGTTTTGGTATAGCCACAAAAGTGAGAGCTTGAAACCACTGAACGCCTCCAACATCAGCCTGTCTATTGTCTCAGTAGCCTTCAGTGCACCTTCTTCGTGCCCTCAAGGACCGACAGTTCATTTATAAGCCATTACCTAAGGAGCAACTACTAATTATAGCAAGTCTGCAAAGCTACATGACGGTTTTGTGACTTGGTCAAAGGCTAAGACCTCCAAACTCATTTCACTTGTGACCCAAGAAAGATTTCAGTTTAGACCTCCAGAGGTGGCAGTCTGGAGCAAGAGGACACCACATCACCAGCTAGTCTCTTATTTATAAGCTCTTGTTGCACAGGATGTTGAAATCAGTAAAGGAAATCTAAATCTAGGTTTTTGCCTAAAAATAGTAGGTTTCCTGCTAGGCCAAATTTGCTGTTTACGGAATTTTAGTATTTTATGTTTAATTACTTCATAGTTTATAGATTTATTTATAAGATTATGAGAAGGGCAAGTCATAAATGTACAATGATTGTTTACTAGTTAGTTTGGATTATATATAAATATGTTGCGCGAGCTGAGCAAAAGCCTTTTTCACCGAGCTGAATCAGAACATTCAAACTGTATTTTCAAACGTGTCTCTCTGCCTTATCTAAATTCCAACATGACACATAATAAATAGCTTCTCATTTACTATCATCATAAAAATTTAAACAGCCTTGAAATAGTTGCTACAATACAGGGGAAAATGATCAAATGTATGTTCTAAATACCCACTTAGAACAGTAAAACTATTTCCATATTGAAGAAAGAACACATAAAGATGCATTGTTGCAGTAAAGGCTGTTACCTTGTTTAAAAAAAAAAATCTTCTACTCAGTATAGTAGTATTAGAGTCAACAACTTGCTGTTTTACACTGCAAAAAAAGGACTAACAGCCCTTAGCTATCATGTAATGTCAGATTTGCTTTAAAAAAGAAAGTATCTGATTTGATTCTATACAGTGATTAAACATCTTTGTGCTCTGCTGAGTAGGGTATTCTATCCCCTCCCCCCTCCAAAAATGGCATCAAAGCAATCAAAATGGTAATGTTCAGCATGAATGGGGCCCCATCCCCCACCTTCAAACTCTGCAGACTTTTCTCCATGTTAGAAGAAACCAACACCCCTTCCTCACAAAATGGAAGCTTCCACTACCAAATTGAGAGTGCTGACAAATTCTGATTACAATAAACTGGGAGGAAAAGGGTGGCAGAAAATCACCATCACCTATGGGCACAGATTACATATGCGCGGATCACTTTTCAACTTTAACCGCAACTCCGGCAAAACAACAACAAAACAAACAAAAAAAAATAAAAAAAAAGGAGGGG